GATTGCCAGCCAGAGGAAAAACTTTCAGGAGTTTTAAACGTCCCCTTATACTGCCATGCTTGTCTAAATGTATACATTATGAAGCATTAATTGTATTGGTATGTTTAGAGCACAAACATAAAAATACAATTTAAAAGATCCAAATAGGTTATGCTGGAAGTTTAAATGCAGATTAGCGGGCAGGGAACCTTAGCAGTGTAGACACACATATACCATTTATAGAGTGGTGATTTTATTTTTGTTACGGAGTTTACTGGCATAAACACATTAACAAAAAATCACCCAGGGATTGTTTTTCCTTTCCTTCATGGTGGCAGCAGTATGTCAGCCCTCATAAGTGTATCAGCAGTGGACTGTGTTGGGTCAGACTTTGTAGTCTGAGGTTTTTCTGCAGTGGAGAGTGTGGGAGAGAGGTATAGGATGAAGTGTTGATCATAGTTGGTGTAAGTGTGCCAGCAGAAGTCCTGCTGTGCAATTTCAGGTACTGGCAATTTTTTGCCGTTTCTCTGATAAAAGTTGCATCCATATAAGCAATATTTTAGCAGTACTGTACAGGTCACATCTAGTGCTCCTTCAGAAGCATTCCCTCTGAAGACGATTTTGAATGATGAACTTATCAAATAGACACTGTAGTCTGAATAATAGTTGCAGAATCTGGCTCTCCTGTGGTTCTAAAGGCTGAGGTAAAATTTCAGCAGTTAAACACCTGGTGCTGATGTTGCTTACATTGGTATTAATGAGTAACAGGGAATGCCAACAGCAGTCATGTGCCATTAAATGCAATAGAGTTGTACCAGTGCCAAACTGAGTTGAGTGAGATCATGATCGAGTCCTTGAAGCTGCTGTGCCTGGATTGGGAAATCAGGCTGCACCCAGGCAAAGGAGAGATTTGGTCTGGCTGGGCTCAGACTCCACAGTGTAGTTGTCTACCTCTGAGTAGCCCTGGAAAGCTCTCACCAAAGCCTGGTCAGTGTGTTTGGGGCCCTTGAGGAGCACACCCTGAACAGCACACCACCTGAAAGTGGCATCTAGAGCTGAGCCCAGTTACCTAAGAATAACTGTCAAGTGCGTTGAGGGGCAGGTATTCAAGACAGTTGTGCAGAGCTGGAAAGCCTCCTGTGGGGAGGCAGCACCTGGCTGGAGCAGGAGATGAGGACCAAACACGTTGGGGAACGTGGCTGTAGTGCCTTCTACATGTAGCTGCAATCAGGTTTGGCACCTGATTCCTGCCCATAGTGCTCTGTAGGCTTGACTAACACCCTTGTTTTGGGGCTTGACTCGGTTGCCTGAAGGGGAGCAACCAGCTGGACATGCCCTGACTGGTTCTCCCTCATCTCTAGGGGCTGCTCCTGGATGGCCCAGGCCTCCCGTAGGTCTTGAGTCATACTTGCATGGTGCTTGGTACGTGGTGATGTTTTAGATCCCTCAGGACATTTGAAATGCCCCTGGGTGCCTGTGTTCAGGCAACAAAATTTCATGCCAGATTTCTACAGGTTATGATGGCAGATTTAATGTCTAGCTAACATACAGACACCTCCACTGAAGACATCAGTATTTAGCTGTGGGAATATGAAGCTGAATCCCACCTGAAGAGTGACATATTACATAGGAACGATACCAAATGAAAGTGTATCCCAGGTCAAAATAAATGTTCACTTAAAATGGCTGTATTTCCTGTAGTCAGGAAAAAGGAAGATGACTGAAATACAGCAATTTAACTACTGTGCTGTTGTAGGAATTCAGCTGTCCAGACAAAATCAATTCATTTGTGTCATTATGAATAAGTAAAGTAGAGCTATTTGTGTCTGCAGAAGAAACTTACCTGAGGATGCAGCCGAAAAGACAAGATGGATAATCTTGATTGCTGACATCGGTGATCCTGTGCTGTTGCTAGATTAGCAGATGTGAATTGCAGAAAATCCAATGTGGATTTAGCTCAGATCTTTACTTTTCAGAAATCTTGAAATTCCTTGAACTTTTTGACCAACAGTTACAATGCATGAGTCAGTGCGTGACATTTTGATTTTCATCCTATGTGAAGTGCCATGTCTATCTCTATTTGTATCTATAGATGTTACCAGTAATTATAATGTTTAATATAAACTTGATCTCACTTATAAAGGATTAATCAAGAGTGGTGCTGCAGCAGTATAAAGCCAGTGACAGACTGAACAAAATTGTTTGCTCGGGATTTTTTCACTGATGTCAAGAATCACACTTAGGCTTAAGTGACCCCAATAGTGGAGCCTATGAGTTGTGTGCTGGGTATTTTATTCCTAGTAGTAAGTGGTCACTTGATCAGATCCTGCTTGAGTAGGTCATTTAGAGGAATGTAAAGTTATCAGTTTTGTTTCCTCTGATTTTTGCTATGAGAGAATTATGTTTTCTTTTTTTTTAGTAGTATTGTTCAGTACAGTTTAGAGATCTAAGCTTAAAAATACACATCCTTTAGCATTGTTTATTGCACGGCAGAGATTAATCTGTCTGTCATTTGGATCACTACTGTAGGTGGAGTGCTGCAGAAGGAGAGCAGTCCTCTCTTTGCAAATGTTATTGCTCAAGATAAGAGTGTAAAAAGCAGATTAGTAGATGACATGTGACGTGTCCTTCCCTCAGTCTAAAAGTACAGGATCATGGGATGAACTTCGCCTGACTGGTTACACAGAGAGTGTGCTCTCATTTGTAGGTCTTACAGACAAGACTTTGCAAAACAGAGACATAAAATGGCTCTTGTGAGCTCCTTTCTCAGCCACTGCATATGTGGAGACCCTTTACCTGTGTCCGATTCTGAGGTAAGAACCTTATTTAACCTGTGATTTTGCTGCTCTGACCTCGGAGGGACTGTGGTTAAGGGACAGTTTTGCTGAAGCTGTCAGTGCACCAGCCACGGAGTCACTCTCTACTGAACTGCTTATACTATTAAAACTGGTCCTGAGCTAAAATCTGCAGAGAAGCCGAAGCATGCTGGAGTGACAGGTGTGATGCCATAGGAGTCAGAATTTATGCACCTCTATTTAGAATAAATTTCATGCTGTAAGTGAAAGAATTGACTGTAAAGCAATGTATTATGTTGATAATTTTTCATACCTTAATTGCAGTAATCATATTAAAATGCTGACTCTTTAATAACTCTGGCTACTAGCTAAAGTGCTTTCGTACAGTGAAATTTGTCTTAAGCTGTCTTTCAAATAAAAAGTGAAATCTGCCCACTGTATCAAGTGGCCTTCTAAAAAAGGCACATCAGGGTTATAATGGCCTGGTTGAATATGGTACGTGGAAAAGAAGGTGACAGAAGATCAGTTCTCTTTTACAGGCATCGTTGTACAAGGCTGATTCTGGGCTGCATGTTTGCTTTGAACACACAGTGCCTGAAATGGCTTCATTTGGTCTGAAATAGATGAACAAAATGATGCCTCTCTTTTGTGGAACGCTAATTAGCTTTGAATATCATCAGAAATGCACTTGGGTAGTCTAAAGATATCCTAATAAAGGAGTAGCCAAATTTTCCTACCAAAAAAAAAAGTCAGAATTAATTCATAATTTGTATGAGTACTTGGGCCGGGGTTCACTTGCTCAGCGGTGCTTTGGAATTTGTGTGACAGATCAGGTGTTTGTGCAAGCCACCACCCAGCTCAGAAATCCTCGTCTTCCTTTTTCTGTTTCTTTTCTGTTCTTTATAGAGAAGCCAGAAAAAGCCAAGGAAATGCTAAGAATTTGGAAGTTTGAGGGAAAAGTGAATATAAATTTTTATATGCAGTATTTTATCTCAAAAACTGTAGTTTTGCTAGAAAAGTTTACAGCAGTGTTACTCCAAATGCATTTAAGTCCCTTAAAATATTCCCTCTAATAAGAAGTATTTCAGTTGAGGCTATTTTGTTTCCAAACTTGCAGTACCGGTGCAGTTATACCTGTCAGCATTAACCTTCGTGAGCCAGATGTGCTATTAAATAGGAGTGAAACACTCATTTTCTGAGCTTCCTCCCTAAAACCATATTTTTTTCCTGTATTTGTGTTAAAACATATCTCTGGTCCTAGTCCGTATAACTATAACCTCCCTGAGCGTATAGAAAATTAGCTTCTCCCTTCCAGATTGGATGAGCTCACTTACCCAGTTGGCACATGTGTGGCTGCACAATCTCTAGATCTGACCCAAGGGAGGGTGTGGGAGGGAGCGGCGGGAGGGGATGCAACTGCCCGGTTTGGTATCGGCTTCCAGTTACATGGCATCAGGAAGCAAACCGCAGCCTTCCTGGTTATTTTCATCGCTGAATAGAGGTAAAGCAGGAGAATGTAATAGAATCATAGAATGGCTTGAGTTGGAAGGGACCTTAAAGATCGTGTAATTGTAGCCCCCCTGCCATGGGCAGGGACTCCTCCCACTTAGCCCAGGTTGCTCAAAGTCCTGTCGAGCCTGGCCTTGAACACTTCCAGGGTTGAGGCATCCACAGCTTCTCTGGGCAACCTTCTCCAGTGTCTCACCACCCTCATCCTAAAAAACTTCTTCCTTGTGTCCAATCTAAACCTACTCTCTTTCAGTTTAAAATTGTTGCCCCTTGTCCGTCGTTACAAGCCTCGGTAGAAAGTCCAGAAACACAGGTGCGGGTTGGATTATTTTTAACCATGTTACATGTAACATCCTGCCTGTGCACAGGAACGAGTCCCGTGTGTGCCAGAGCTGTCTTTCCAAGGCATCGTTCAGTGAATTCAGTGTTTATGATAGGACCTATGTGTACTGCTGAGGTAATAGGTGAGTTTTTAGTGTCACTAGTCATGTTTGCCTAAGAGATACTGATGATTGGGTGTCAACTTTACTCAGCACAAGCATCACAATGTCTTTGCTTTGCAAAGTTATTCTCGTCCTGAATTGTCAGTTGCATTTGTTGTATTTATGGTAACTCTTTTCTTTTTAGCAATGTTAAGTGATCTTCCACATTAAAAAATCAGAAATTATTAACTGTCAGAAAATTCTGTGGTTTATTTGACTTGTTCACATTTAAAAGGTTGTTTCTGATGACCACTGGAAGAAGTCCTCATCCCAGGATGAAGAAAAGGCAGACACTCAAAAGGTGACGCCCAGGAGATGGGGCTCTGGAAAAAGATCTCGCCCCAGACCTCTCTCAGACTATGGCCAAATGTCGATCAGAAGCTTCTCTATACCAGAAGATGCAGTTGCAGTGGAGTCTCAGAAGACAAACTGCGCAGATGGAGAAAATCAGCCAGGGCTGGCTTCCGGCAGGTCTGTGATCCAAAGCAGTACAGTAGGCTACCACAGAGGGCGAAAAAGAAGACCCATCTCCGTAATTGGTGGGGTCAGTTTCTATGGAAGTGGCCCGCCAGAAGAGATAGAAGGACTGCTGACACAAGTAAGATACGAGATGTGCTCTCTGCAAACTGCAAAAGACCCTTTCACTTCCTTGTCTCTATCTTCAGCCTAGAAAATAGAACGGATGCTTCCTTGTCTTCCTTCCCTTTTTTCAAGCTGGTATCGCGTGTACTTACAATTCTGCTTTCCTGGTCACTAATTACTTTGTCTGTTGTTAGAAAACAAACCAGCATGTAATAAAACCGATGCTGACTTTGGGAAAATCTTTTCTATATTGTAAATTAACCTTATTTCTTTTTTGGAATGGTTATTTTATCTCCTGTTGGTGTATAAGAGTTCGTTTGTGTGTGATAAAGCTGTGTGTTTAGTCTTCTTGCAGGGTGTAGGGCTTGAGGAACAGAGGAATACAAACAAACTTGATGATAACATTATTTTTTGATAATTTTGACCATTATTTATTTTGATTTTTTTTTATTATTATTGACCATTTCAAATTCTTCCAGGACTGGCCTGTTCAAAACCTCTGGCATTACCTGTGGTGTTCAAAATCCTGATATTGTCATAGCAAGGATACTTAAAACTAATAACGACATTGCTTGAGAAAATTGGTAAAAAATTCAGGAATTTACGAAATAAAGAAGGGATCTAAGAAGACTAGCAATAGGAATGCAATTTGTTTACGTACTACTAAATTGACCTGACTCAATGAATGTAGGAAGCCTGTGTGAAAATAATGTGTGGTTGATTTAGCACTTGAGCAGTATCTATATATTTATGTGCCGTTTCTGTTGGCTTAGGTAAGAGAGTGAGAAATAAAAAACTTCTGTGATATAAAAATAGATCCTTTTTCCCTGGAGGCAGTCCTAAGCGGATGCAAGGTGTAAAGGAACTTGTGGTGGCCCTGTCTTGCAGTTGATTACAGAGCTTCAGGCGCACCGTCTTGTGTAACACTGCACTGAGCTTTCAGTGGAAACTGAAAAGCGAAAGTTTTCCACTTTCTAGAAAAACTGGAGGACTCCTACCTAGAGCGACTGTCAAGTTGATAAAGCAAGAGAGAAAATGAATAGTATTTACATCCTCAAAAAATGTGATTTGAGTAGTTATTAATGGAATTTGAATTCTCTTAATCTCTCCTTTGCCACTCAGTCTCCTGCTGGGAAGTTCAGTTCTACTCCTCTGACTGAAATCAAATGCTAAAACAACGGTAGGATTTTCAGGCTCCTGTGAGAAGCAATTTTTCAAGTGAACACTGTTATTTTACATTGCACAGTTTTTCATTTAATTGCCTGATGAAAAAATGCATATTGAAGCAAAACTCTATCTGAAGCCAATGAACATTTTACCCAGGGCAAAGGCTGTAGTTTCAAACCCTATATAACTGGAGTTTTTTTAAATCCATGTTAGCTTGGAGGAAAAAAAAGAGGAAAATTATTCTTGTAAATTCTAGGCCATCTTACTCAGGACTAATAGATGAATTTCAAGGAATTATTTGCAACCCAAATAATCCTTGCTGTATTGTAGAAGTGATTTAACGTTCTCCAAGCCCTTCATTTACTGCTGAAAACAAGCTGACCTGTCTTCAAACCTTGCTTGCATCAGTTTATTAATGAAAAAACATGCATCAGGCCAGCTACCTGAGTTGACCCTTTCCATGCTCCGATGCCGCCATGAGGGCTGGCTGGGGTTAGACAAGCACGCTGCTGAATCACTGTGGTCAAGACCCAACCTGTGGAGCTTTCCCAACGGGGGCACATATTTAACACAAATGATGGCTTTCCCAGCACTGCCACTCAGTGACAGCACATCCTTGTCTGTCTGGGGAAGGGATGTGGACTGAAGCCTTATGAGAAAATTTTAGTTGCCCAGAAACAAATAGCTGTCAGCCAGTCATTTCCATATAGTAACTGCCATCACTTCTATTAGCTATTTGATGCAATGTATCGGGCTTGCTCTTTGTGGTGTTATTCAGTGATAGGAATATATTGCTAAAACACTGAGGGGATCAGGTTTAAAGATGAGGTTGTAGTTAGTTAAATCATATCCAATGCACGTGGAGTTTTTTGGCAGACATATTAGAAAGTAAATGTGATGCTGGAATACATGCGCCAGGAGTATGTGGCACATGTGGGACTCAAAGACTGATATTCACGTTGGTGATTTTGTTTCTTAAAAGCTTTGAAAACCCACAGGAATATTTGAAAAGTATAATCGCGATTCATTCTTTGTTGTGTTTTGCTTTGGTCTGGCAGCTTAGGTGTGAGAAAACATTTTCAAACAATACTAAATCATTGTTTTCATAACAGAGTGTCAAGAGATAGTTCGTTTAAAAAAATCCCTGATGTTTTAGATTACTTGATAGAAAGGCTTATGAACAGTAATAACTGACAGATAAGAGAAAATCTAAAGATGAGTTTCTCTGAAGTTCGTGTGCTGAGGTCTGGCTGTTTAATGTTGAATGTTTATGCAAGGTCATTCAGCCTGGCTGATGTGGAGTTGTTCAGGGATGACATGAAATTGGACTCAATTTGCAAATAAAACAGGGATAAGTTCCCTAACCATAATTAAGCAAATGAATGATTTAATTAAAGCAAATGGCTTCTAGATAAAGTTACAAATAAACTTAATATTGCCTTTTTTTAGTGAGACTCCTGGGACTTACAGAGCAGAGGATCATTTAGGCTTTTTTTTTTTGTTAAAATATATTTATTTTACTTAAAAGCAGTAAATTTCTTTGAAGAAAGCAAGCATCCCAGAAAATGAACAGAACTTCCAGCCATAGCATTTGTGGTCATTCTTTTGCCTTGGGATTTCTCTTCAGATGTGAGTTTACAATGTGAGCTGGCATTGCTGCTCTCAGAGCAGGGTATTACAAGATGAAAATTATAAAGCATGTCTGATCATAACAGAAGGAGGTTTTAATGTAACAGAACTGTAACATAATAAAATATTTTCTGCAATACTGGTGCATATGGTATGTGGTGTTTAAGCAATGTCACTTCGAAGTAGGGGGTTTTACTGCCCCTGTAATTAGCTGGACTATCTGAAGAAACCTTACTTCATACCTGAGTTTTGCTCAGGTGGACTTGCTGGTGGCTTTGCTAATACTGGATTTTCCTGTTTCCTCTGTAGCCTGTAACCCGGCCACCCGTTCCAGCACACCAGGTACCCCCGTACAAAGCAGTTTCAGCCAGGTTCCGGCCCCTCACCTTTTCACAAAGTACCCCCATCGGCCTGGACCGAGTTGGACGAAGGCGGCAGATGAGAACAGCTAACGGTAAGATGGGCAAGACTTTTTAATCTTGTAGGTCTCAACACCAGCTTGATCAGGAAGTAGATTATAGTGTGGAACACCAAAGGGTAAAAACCAAGTCAGTGACAAAAGGAGTACCCAGCTAAGTTGCTTTGTTTGAGAGTTTCTCATTAGTAGCTGCTGTGTTCACGTAAAACGTGCTTGTCACATCTACCCTTTGGCATTGCTGTGGTTTATTCATATGTAGCGCTTATACCCCCGTATCTTCCACTCTCTATTCACATACTTGCCTGAAAGGTAGTAATAGAATATGAAGGAAGTAAGGTCTAATATGCTTGAGTTCATACCCGAACCATAGTCACACCACAGATATTTTTAATTTCCTGTTTGCTGTGCATTCAGCTTAACTACCTAAATAGGCAAGCCTTAAATAATTAAGCAGCTGGTTTTAGAGAACTGTTTGCAGTTGCAGTTGTTTACGCAGCGGTGAGTGTAGCCCAACCAGGGTACTCGTATGTGATGGACAGGTTCTTGGAAAAGATTACCTTTTTGGAAGCGTTATGCTTTATCAGACTCTGATATGCCCTGTGTATTTTTACTGTAATTGTTTACTACTAGCATGCAATGCTATCTTGAGTTAATAGAAAGTCATATCTAGTATTAGAGGAACATTTCTTGGCAGGTGGGACAAGAAGAGCCTGGGTTAAGCCCATTTGTGTTTTTCAGTCCTCTGTGAACATAATCTGAACAGTTATACATGTTTCAGTTGCAAGGGTCAGAAATAAAAGCAAAATTTTTACTTTATTTGCTTCACTGTAAATAGTGAACAAAATGCTACTGGGAAGCTTCACTCTGCCTCTCTGTGGAGATAATAAGTAAAGGTTTCAGGGCTTGTGATGACTGAATGAGGAAACTTAGAGTTTATTAAAATTGTGCTTGCATTTACTCATCAGTACTTGGCTTTTATGGTTCTAAGCTAAGTTTTAGCTGCAGTGATGTCCAAATTCTGCTCAAAAAACCCCTCAACTACAAATTAGTTTATATAAGAACGTGGTAAAACTGCTTTTTCCAGTCTTCAATAGAGCATGACAGTTTTCTTCAGAAACTGCTCTCCAAGGATTAGACATTAAGTATGCTATATTAGTATTTTCCTTTGAATTTATATTGCAGCAAAATAATGGGACTCCTTAAGTTTCACAGAGTGGGAATTCTTTTTCTGTTTTTAGTTATCCTTTCAATTTAATGCTTGCAAGCCAGGTGAGATACTGTTAGTTACCTAGACACTCGCCAGAGAGTAGTTATCTTTCCAGGTATGTAGCTTTCAAATAAAGCTACGTCATACTTAAGCATCAGGTAAACAAATACACAAACCAAGATTTCTGCTTTGTGATGAGATTTTTCAAGACAACAAAGCCAAAGCAATATTGATTGCGCTAGATGTGACTTCTACGACTCATTGTAGTAAACATAGAAGTTGAGCAGGAAAAGTCTCTGGCATCAAAGCCCTGGAGGCAAGTGGGGAATATCTTGGACTTCACAGTCTGAGAGTAGTTGCATAGATCTGTTAAGTAGCCCCAGCAGAAAATAATAAAGTGACTAGGGTCACACATTTTGATCTCTTTCCTTTTTCTCTTAAATTCACAAGGCATTTCCTTGTCTTTGAACATGTGAGAGTTTTTTGTTTGCTCATGTACAGTGAAATTTGATAGCACAAAAGCCCTTTATTATAGAAAGCAATTCTAAACCCAAGCACTGAAAACTAGTGGTATCTTATTTTAGTTACTTGCTAAAGCCCAGTACATTACATGTCTACTTTTATAGCAACGGGAGATAGAATTGGAGATGTATTTTTTTTAGAAAAAGAGCTGGTACAAGAAGTAAATCATCTTGCTGTAGGAGACAGAATAACAACCAGCCAACACATAAGGGAAACTTCCCTTGAGACTTATATTGCTACTCTTTTCCTTAAAGGGCTACCAGTTTTAAATTCCATTAAAGAGGTTATCTTTTTATCACAGCAGAACAATTTTTGTAAGTATCTTAAAAACTAATGCATCTTTTTTTGCATGTTGTGATGTGGGACTTGAATTTGGCTAAATTAATTGGTGAACTCCTTTAGATATGCTCAACTCCGATGAGATGAGGTGGGATTCAGCTCAAATTTAAGTCACCTAAATTCAGTCTAAATATAGGTACCGACATAAGAGTTAAACATTAGAACATCCATTACATGCAGGGGAAGACTAGGGCTTGATTGAGGACCCCAGGGTCCAGTGCTGTGTGTGGTACCTGAACATCTGCCCACAGCTGGCAGATATGACAGAGAACCTAAGGGAAATCTATTCCTTTTTTCAGTGGCAGCTGGAGGCCAGCAGGATATCAAAAATACTTAAACCAGTGCTAAGTATCTATATTTAAATAACTGGTCTGAAGTTGTAGCCACTGCAGTCAAAGAAGGTTAGAGTAGGATCTGCCTTTCTATAAGGTGGATCGCTCTCTCAGCTGTTTTAATTGCAACCAATAGTTGCTGATTTAGATGGTTCAATCAAATGTGAATTCTGGCATTTAGTTTAATAAAACTAAATTTCTTTAATTCAAGTATTATCCTGTCCTGGATGCTTGCCTACAGTGTGAAACTACCATCAAGATTTTCCTAGTTCATCAAGGTTGGGTAACTGGGTAGGTTTCAGCGTGTGTGTAGCACAGCTCAAGAGCTGAAGTGCAAAAAAACTGGCCATTGGTGAGAGGAGATTTTCAGGTTCTCCATCCCTGACACTGATCAAATAAACAAACCCCACCCCAAATCAGTTACTGGCCATGGAGGTGAAGAAACAGAAGTTATTAATCACTACTTGAGAGAAAACAGTTCCGTGCTTGCTGCCGTCTCCTTGCTACCCTGTCCTTCCTCCCGAGCCCCAACAGGATGAGGATGTAAGTAGGACAACATGCAGGAAATGCAAATTCCAGGTTACTACACTGAGTGCCATATTTGTGATTACTAGGAGGTGGGTGGAATGCGTCAGATGTTGCAAGTAACTCCATGGCGGTTGCTGTGTTCTGTGGCCCAAATACCTGAAAAAATAAGGGAGGCAGAAAGACTCATGGGCAGGACCTGAAGAGGCATCATGACATCCACTGCCGCTGGCTAAGCAGTCCCAGCATTGCAGGGTGCAGAAAAGCCTCTGGACTGGAGGATGATGGCTGTGTGATGCTTTGAAGGATGTAGGTAATGGGATTTAGTTGCATAAATAGCTGGTCTCGATGATGCAAACAGGACCTAGCGGTGTGTTGGGAGCAGCTGGTCCATCAGGTGAAGCACCCAGGCAGTCCTGGGGACTCTGGAGGTTATAGCTGTGGGGCAGAAGAGTGCCAGGTAGAAGCTAAAAGACCAGGAGCCCAATGGTAGAATTGTCTGAACTGCTGCTAATACCATGCTCAGTGTCAGGCAGAGAGGCCTTTTTACTTCCAGGCACCTTCATGCAGAAAATGAAATTAAAAAGAGGGAGATTTAGATTATTTAGGAACTTAGGAACATTTCAAATTAAAAAATCCCTTGTTTCCTAAACCAAAACAAAGGCAGACGTGCAAATCAAGAGGTTATAGAGCAGTTTCTAAGCAAGGGGTTAGGGAAAAACTGGCAAGGCAAAAATAATACACAGTATAGGACAGCATGTCCTTTACAGGTGATGTCGACTACCGCTGCATCCCCAGATGAAAAATGGGGCAGAAGCTGACAAAACTCAAGCAAATGTTAGGCAAGAACAGTTGGACAAATGTTGTTTAAAGAGGATTTAGAAAAAAAGGCAACTCTGCCAGTAATAGTGAAAGTTTAAAAAGTAAGATGGAGAAATAAACATAATTTCAAAGAAGCTAGATGGCATAAGTCAGAAACTTGGTTGAGGGAAAATAACCACTGGAGCATAACCAGCGTATCAACATTGTGCAAGCTGTATAGGAATAACAGAAAAGATTGTGCTAGTGAAAGACAGTCTCTAAAATATTAAATAAAAACTATGAGCCAAATCAGATGAACAAATTGACCATATCATCAAGTGTCACAGGACTGGTGGACTGGAATGCCATGGCTAAATCACGGAATCACAGAATTGTTGAGGCTGGAAAAGGCCTTTGAGATCAAGTCCAGCCTATGACCCAGCACCACCACATCGGCCAGACCATGACACTAAGTGCCACATCCAGCCTCTCCTTAAACCCCTCCAGGGATGGTGACTTCACCACTTCCCTGGGCAGTGCATCCCAGTGCCTGAGCACCCTCTCTGTGAGGAAGTGCTTCCCGAGATCCAACCTAAACCTGCCCTGACGCAGTTCCAGGCCGTGCCCTCTTGTTCTGTCACTGGTTGCCTGGGAGAAGAGCCCGACCCCCACCTGACGACAACCTCCCTTCAGGAGGCCAGAGTGATAAGAGTCCCCCCTGAGTCTCCTCTTCTCTATGGGGAAAAATTTAGCAACAGGATTAAATTATGAACCACCTGAGATCACTAGGACAGTGACAGTAAATGTGACAAACCAAGGAAACCAGAGAAGTTTCAAGGGCAGCAAGCACAGTCATAAAAGGGGACTTAAATTGCTGTCATGTGGGTTAAGTGTTGTAATGGGGTACTGTGCTACATTTTCAAGTGTCCCATAAATAACTCCTTGGTACAACTAATCAGGAGACCTGCAGGAAGGGAAACAATTCTTGAAGTGTTCCTGAAGCATGTGCAGGACTGCACATAAGAGCTGCTCTGTAAGGGTAGGATATGTCTCATCTGACTCTCTAGACTTCTAAGCTAAGCCAGGATGATCTTGACTGGAAGAAACAGATAGCTTAGGGTGCTGCTCATGGACCAAATAAAGGCAGATAATGAATCTGGCCCTCTGTGTCTGTAATGCGCTCTGAGCCAATATCCTTGCGGGGTGAGAAGAGTAAAAAAATCCAATACAGTATGTGTTTTAATTTAAAAGAGGGAAAGTAAATAAAAATGAGAAGCCATTTACGTAACAAAGGAATTTAAAGGAGTGGA